GAGCACCACTGCCTCCCTCCCTTCCATCTCTTTAAGGCTCTTCTTTAGTTTCTCAGTGACCTGGCTTGTTCCTGAAAGCATCGTGGGTCTAGGGAGGGGATGTGTGGGTGACAGTCGACGTCCCAGCTCCATCTTTACCCAGGAAAGCTCTGTTAAGTACCACTGTCCAAAAGTGTGACCTATGCTTTCAAGTGATGTAAGAGCTGGGCACTGACATCTGTTATTTGGAGCACAAACTTGAGGGTAACCCAACATTGTGCTTCCTATTATTCAAGAAAATCTGGGTTTTCTTTGCTGTTGTTGGGTATTCCTACTGTCTGAGTAGCTGACTGCTATATGTTGGTGGATAAGATCATAGCAAAATCTAGGATTTCTTAGTGCAGTAATTCACCTCCCTGTTTAGGGGCACACTCATGCGTCTATCCCTGTGCACACAGTCCATACAGAACTCCTCAAGGGTTCATGTGTAGAAAGCTGTGTAATGATGTCAGATAGTGGAACCTGGAAAAGGTGAAGCCTAAGCCAGGCTGAGTTGGTACATGCCTATAATCACAGTTTCTTGAAATCTCAAAAGACCAAGGCCAAGGAGAACTACAGAGTGAGTTCAGGACAGCCCAGGCAACTTAGTGAGACCCTGTAAGAAGAGCTGAGGATGGGGATGTAACTCAGGGGTGAAGGGCTTGCTTAGCATGTGTTACTCTCTAGGCTTGCTCAATCCCCACAACTGCTCCTCTTCCCCCCAAACTGGGGCCCAGTGGGAAGTAATTAAGTCACTGGAGACATTGCTCTTGGGAAGAATTACCATGATCTCGGGGAACAAATGGCTATAACAGATCTGTGGCCCCTACCTGCTTTTGAGTGTACTCCCATCACACTCCCATGAGGCATGCTGGGATCCAGCACAGTGTGAAGAGTCACAGCCCCCAGTAGAGCCAAGCAACAGTCAATGCCATACTTTGTATTAAAAAATAAACTTAATTTAAAAAGTGCTAGTCTCGGGTAGCTTCCTTTAACAATGGGAAACAAATGAAGACAATTATTAACACATAAATTCACTATCACACCTGTTGAGTTGTCTCCATCTGCTGGCCATGTATTCCCTGGCTGAAATGGCTGCATGGCTAAGATGTGTTCATGACTGAGAGCCACATCCTAGGTTGGCGTATGTCTCCTACTTTCCAATGATTTCCGTAATGGATTTTATTTCTCTTGCCACCTGTTAAGAACACAAACATAACCTTCCTTCCCTGTGTGACTCCGTTCTTTTGAATGGCCCATGGAGATACTACCCATCACTCCTGCCTATGCCTTTGAGGGCCTGGCTGTATTCCCAGAGTCCTCCTTAATCGTCTCTACCCATTTCCTATCCAGACTGTTAAGTCAACAAGATGTACCTTAATTCATATTTGTACTTCCTGCCTCTAAAATACACAAATAATTGATTGATCAGTATTTGTCAAGCTGATCGGTGTGTGTCAACAATCACATGCCTGGTGCTATATGTTCTTCTTTGGAATCATTGTAGAATGCAAGCTTCCAGCCCTAGCTTTCACTCTCTTCTTGTTCAGAATAGTTAATAGATTGCTGGCTGCCAGCCCCACTCTTTGCTTTCTTCTTCAGAATCATAAAATGTTGACTGCCAGCCCAAGCTTAATTTTGAGTACTCCGTTCTCCTCAGAGCTCAGAGAGAGGCCAGCTCTGGACTACCATTATTTTAACTGTCTGTTAGGAGAGACTTTTTGAGATTGGCATAAGAGCGTTGTTATTATTGAATAGTGTTAACGGTGTATGGAAGGCACTGTGCTAAATTAGGCCTAGCCCAAGAGGAATGGGCTCATTACCCGTAAGTGGGATGAAGCTCAGAGAGGTTGAGCTCATCAGCCTATAGTGTATTTCAGCAACCACAAGATGTCCTCCCTCCCTCCTTTTTCTACTTTAAGATCTGCGTGGTGAGTGGTGCTACTGATGGGAGTCACAGTCTCTTTGGTCTACAAGTAGTAGTAAAGATTGGTGTGCTCTGCCACTCGTGTCTCCTCGCTTGTTTCCTGTGTGGGTATCTTTTACTCCTTATTTTGAGTTTATTTAGAGCAGACTGGTTTTGAAAATCACAAGAGTAAACTATTGAGTCAGCATTCATGCCTTCTGTCCATAACCAACTGATGACTCTGAGACTGAGGAGAAAAACTACTGTGAAGGGAAAACATGTCTTCCAACAGAGCGAGGGGTATTAATTTGTCCTCAGTGGGGCAAATATTTATTGTGGGAAGAATAACTGCAATGCCATAGTTTCTCACCCAATATGTGTTGGTGGCTTGGACATGAGAATACCCACAAAAACATGAAGCTGTGTTTGTGTTTTGTGACCAAGACACGTGAAGAGCCAACATTTGCCACCAAAGGTCAGAAAACTTGCCAATTCTCCTTGAACAGATAAATGTCAAAGCCTTCTGAGGCTGCTGTGAATGATTCATGGGCATTGTTAAAGCATTATGTCATTGTTAGAGCCAAGTGTTTTGTCACTGGTAATAAAATAACGGTGAATCTCAGACACCATGGAAGTCTTGAGTTGAGTAAAATCCTGCAAGCAGCAAATCCAGTTTCAAATTCGAGCAGGCCAGCTTGGGCAACTTCAGCCCCATCCCTTGCACTCCTGGCTTTTAAGATATAGGCGTTTATGAGAAAACATTCATAGAGTACAAAGGAGTTTGCACATCAAGCTTTAGAACAAAATTTGGTCATCCCTGAGATATTGGCATCTTTATTGAATGCCTAGAGTCACATTTCAAGTAGAATCCTCTCCTGTTCTTTCATGCCTTAGGTCTTTAATTAAAGTCTATTAGAAGCTAGCCACATTATAATTGATTATATTATCGATCCACCAGATAGTGAGTTGTATTACATTTTGTTCTTTGATTGCCTGACAAGGAATGGAGCTTGTTTACTGTCATCAGGATAATTATAGCTATTGGAATTGGTAGAGGTATGGTGAATGGCACTTTTGTCCCCTGTATTAGTTTACAACCAAATGAAAGATCAAAAGATGTCAGACAAATAGGTATTAAATGATCAGAGTTGTGCTAAATGCTCCATGAGAGCACATGGTGTAGATGATGTCCATCACAGAATCCTGACTTGTCCTGGCCCAGTGTCGTCACAGCTGAACAACACTGGGGGAGGGTCCTTTCTTGTGTGTGTGTGTGTGTATGTTGGGTATGCTGTTGTGTTAGCAGGCGGTGATTAGAGAAGAAAACGAAGGTCTGAGATCAGCAAGCTTGCTTTTTCCTCCACTGCCCAGGCCGTCCGTCTGGGATAGTACATGTGAGATGGAACAAAATGTTAGAAGAATCACTGGAGGAAGCTTCCCTGGACTATGGAGACCCTTGCTGCATAACTATGACTGTGAATAATGATGTCACAATATTGCTATAATAATGATAGCAATTACTGTTTTTACTATTGCCTGCAAGCAGCTCAGGTCAAAAGCAGTGGTCTTAGCCTTAACCTGAGCACCACATGTATTAGCAATGTTTGTATCACCACGATCACAATATCGAACAACAAAGAATACTTTCATTCTGGCTTCTTCTTTCAGAGAATTCAGTCCACCATGACAGGGAAGGCAGGTAATGGTAGAGTAGTTCAGCTCATGGTGGTGGGGTCATGTGACAGGCACGTTTTACTTTATGATGGGCCAGAAAGCAGAGAGGGCACTAGAACCAGAACCAGGGCTATAGTCTTCCAATGCCTATCCCCAGTGACCTACTTCTCCCTGTGAGGCTCTACCCAGAAAGCTTCCCAAAATAATGCTCTTAGATAGGGAACAAACATTTAAAACCATCAGCCTATAGAGGGACACTCCACTTTCAAACCATAACTTATCACCATCAACTTAAGTCAAGAATCTCTTACTCAGGTTTTATTAGTTGAATAGAGCCCATAGGTGCCTTAGACTCATGGCTCCCAACTGTGTTTGAATAGTGCAGAGAAGGGGAAGAAGAAGAAGAAGAAGAAGAAGAGGAGGAGGAGGAGGAGGAGGAGGAGGAGGAGGAGGAGGAGGAGGAGGAGAAGCAGCAGCAGCTCTGTCAACAAAGCAGCATTTTACAAAGGGAACTATGAGGGTTCATATTCAGAGGCATATATCTTCTAACTGCTGGGACTGTGCACCAACAACTCATTCCATCCTCTCAGTGTTTGAGACACTGGGAACAGATATCTGAATATGAGCAGCCTGAAAGTTCTAGGGTGCTTCCACAATGCCCTTGATAACGACTATTGGACTTCATTACTTAAAAGGCCCTACCATTTCTTAACATCAAATCTAGAAGCCAAGATTCTAGTTCATAAGCCCTTAGATAAACCATAACAATGGCATCCATCTGGAGTCTGTGATGGCCAGAAAATATGAGACTCAGTGCAAGCCTATGGAAGGCTAGCCAAGGAGCAGGTCCCAGCCAGGAATTTGAGAACTGTCTCCTGGCCATTTCTCTTTCCACATCAGCCAGGCTGTGTTTTCAACACTGTTGATCTCTTTGCTCTTGTTATTTCTCACCTAAATATGTCAGTGTGTGAAGGTACCCTTCTTGATACCCCCGTCCCTCCTCTTTCTTCAACTCCACCTCTTCCTTTTCAGTGCTTCTAGAACATGCCCTTTCTGAGCTGACCTTGTGAGGTCCATTCAGGGCTCTACCACACAGGTGCTTGTGAATATGTTAAAAAACCTAGGTGAACGGACCTGAACCCTGGCTTTGCAAAGAACTAGCTGGGTGGCCCCAAGCAAGCTAGGTTCTGATTCTCACAGGCATCCATTTTCACCAGGGAAATGATCTCCTAGAGGGTTCCCCACTCTGGCATGGGAGTTCCGAAGGAGAAAGCACAGTGCACAGCCTGGCGGAGTGGGCACACTTTTCCCACTACCATCACTCCCAGTTGCAAACAGCATGGTCTATATGACTCACACCAAGGGCTTCGGATTTGCTTACTTTTTGCTCTTGCTTTTCCAGGGCTGGGAGAGGGCTCTGCCCTCCTTCATCCAGACAGCAGATCACACTCTCGGTCCTTAGAAAAAAGCGCCTGGAGGGCTTTCAAGGAGTCACAGTGCCATCACATGCTCAAGCATCTCCACAATGGTGCACGGATCACGGTGCAGATGCCCCCGACCATCGAGGGCCACTGGGTGTCCACAGGGTAAGAGCTGCATGATTTGAGACAGGAACTGCAGAGAGCAACCTGGGAGCAGGGTCTGAGGAAGACCCTCTGATGGGTTTAGATGCTAGCTTTGCATCTAAATAATTGACAGCAAGGGAGAACCAGGCAGCTCTAGGAAATTATGGTTGGTTATGCAAACAGAACTAGGAGCTGTAGAAATCTTACTCCAAAGCAGCAATGGTATCACAGCACTGCTAACTACACAGTATGAGTGAATAGATCCTTGTTTACTGAACTCTGTGGGACCACTCCTGTATAAAGAGAAACCATTAGCAAGTGAAATTAAGCGTCTGCATTTCGCCATCCCTGAAACCTGACTGCAAAGCTTCTTCTGGTCTAAATATTCTCGCCATATTCTGGTAACTTAATCTCCAGTTTCAGGGCATGGAGAGTAAGTTAAGAGCTGCCTTTACTAGCCAGTTCTTAGATTCTTTTCTGTGCTGTGAAGCTGAGATTTATCCTAGTTTGAGCTCTGGCTTATCTTCCATTAGAGCTTTTAAAAATAGCCTAGAGGCAGATCAGCGATTTTCTTTCTACCCATTAAACTGTTGCACATTAACAAGACTAACTGGGATCTGATGATGTCTCCCTATGCACAGTTTCTGGGATATGGAGAGCAGCCCCCAGAGACCTTCCGGGAATAACTCAACACATATGGACATAAGACAAAAGAAAACCTATAAAATGATGAAATTGATTTTTTTTAAGAAAAAATGGGGTCTCTTAAAATGACTGTGCTAAACTCTTTGTAGATATGTTTTAAATGCGAAATTATAACTTAAATGGTCATTTATTAGGTGGCTGCTGTGTGGCCAGCAGTTGTATATATTTTGTGTTTATAGCTCAAACAGACTTGGTCTGTATTGTCATAGATTTTGCAGATGGACCCAGAGGAGCAGGGGCGCAATGACAGCAGGAGAGTGTGAGAAAACCTTGCTTTAGAATCAGGATGGGCCCTGAAAGTCTAGTTTCTTCCTGCAGGAAGAGTTATCTACGTAGAGGAAGTAGCAAAGTTATGGCTGGATATAGAATGGGTACGACTTGACCAGGCAGGATCCCATCCCTACAACCTAGCTCCCTGTGTGTTGGGTGACTCTGAGCTATCTTGACCTAGCTTAGTTCAAGTCTAACCTTGAACTCCTAAGCTAAATGTTTCTCCTATTAAACCTCTGGGATAGCAAGACTACAGGCATGTGCCACTGTGTCCAGGTTATAGGTATTCTAGTCTAAGAAAACTTGAAAGGATTGCTTAAGATAGGATCCAGATTTATTAAAGGGCCCTGCAGCAATTTTGTGGCAAATACACGGGAGCAGCTGTAGGCTGGGAGTGACCCTTGAGAGGTGTGCACACATCTGGCTAGAGCTGATGGCGGCTGGAGTGAATGGCTGGGTCTGAGATGCACTGAGTTCAGGAGGCAGAGTGCTGATGTTGAGATTAAAAGGAAATGATCAAAAGAAAACAATGAAAAAGGAGAGCTCTTCCCACCTCCGCTGACCTCTGTTGCTGATCACCCTCAATTCCAGTTCCTTTGAGTCAGAAGCCTAAGGTGGCCTTTGCCCCTTCCTTCTGCTTCCCATGACCTGTGCTCAAAGGACTATGTGTTTTATATCCACAAGGCATTGTTTAACATTAATGAATGCATTTACATAACAAAAAGTACCCATATTAAGTAGTAGTTATCCCTCATCAGTCTGCCAACTAAAAGTCCAAGTTGTTGTCAGTTTTGGGAAGCACCTGTGCTTTGGATGGCATCCCAGTTGCTTGATTTAGACATGCTGGCAGCTCAGCTCAGGGTTGTTCATGAGCAGAGGAAGAATTCTGACGAGCCAAGAGTTCTAACTGGAAAGACCAGGGTCTAAAAAGCTTCACGGACAAACTCTGGGCAGTGATTCAAGAGTCCCTGCCTCCACTGGTACCGGCTCTGCTGTGTCCGTATGGATTGGTGGCAAGCCATGTGAGAATGTCCCTGAGCCCGTCAAGCTATTTTGCTCCATAGGACTCAGTCACAGGGTTTCTGGCTTGAGAGCCTAGCATTTATCTAAGGGCATTCCCCCTTTGTCAGTCAACACAAACCAAAGGAATCCTGGTCTCTCTTATTATGTTCACTTTGCTTCCATTTAACTGCCTCTTAATGTTTTTCCCACTGAGAGGATAAAACTTTTGAGTAGATAGAAGGGTTGACTTCCATTTCTGCCAAGATTCCATTTCAGAACAAAGGACACCTCGTACCAGCCTAGACAAGGTCCCTAATTTGAAGTATTCATGAGTCTAGTTGTTCTTTATCTACCAGGTGGGTGTTCCTTGTATAGGTCAGCAGCACACTGTTCCTTCTTATCCAGAGAGAGAGAGAGTTTCCCTAAAGGGGTCCCTGCATCTCCTCACATACAGTGAGTGAAAACCTTTTAGAAGAGAGTAGCTCTGGTCAGTCCCTGAAGCTGTGTTGCCTAGATTCACGGTCAGGCTCATGTGATCTTGTACATGTCTCCTCATCTTTGTCTCGGTTTCCTCAGAGGTGGATGGATGGTAGTCATACACAGTACTTAGACTACTGTCAAGATACAATAAATTGACATTTGTAAAGGACATAGAAGGCATTGTTCTTTTTACTGCCATGACTTGCCATGTCCTCCACATGGCATTGGATTCACCAAGCTCTTCCCCTGTTCTTGTCTTCAACAGCTGTGAAGTAAGGTCAGGTCCGGAGTTCATCACAAGGTCTTACAGATTCTACAACAATAATACCTTCAAGGCCTACCAGTTTTATTATGGCAGCAACCGCTGTACAAATCCCACCTATACCCTCATCATCCGAGGCAAGATCCGGCTTCGTCAGGCATCCTGGATCATCCGTGGGGGCACTGAGGCTGACTACCAACTTCATGGTGTCCAAGTCATCTGCCACACAGAGGCAGTTGCTGAACAACTCAGCCGACTGGTGAACCGAACTTGTCCGGGCTTCCTGGCTCCTGGTGGTGCCTGGGTACAGGATGTAGCCTATGACCTGTGGCAGGAGGAGAGTAGCCATGAGTGCACCAAGGCTGTGAACTTTGCCATGCATGAGCTGCAGCTCATCCGTGTGGAGAAGCAGTATCCCCACCATAGCCTGGACCACCTGGTAGAGGAGCTCTTCCTGGGCGACATCCACACTGACGCTACCCAGAGGGTGTTCTACCGGCCATCCAGTTACCAGCCTCCCCTGCAGAACGCCAAGGTACTCACCTAGCCACTGAGCCCTGCAGAGTCTGTATCTCCTTGGTTCGGTAAAATGGGTGGCCCACAGGGCATGTCAGAGAGATCCCGGGGAACCTGAAGAATGTAGGGTTCTACCTCATAGAGGAGATGTTTCTAGAAAGCAAAAGGAAAAGCGTGGAAGGCTGGGAAGGGATATGTAACTGGGAGCTCGGGTCTGCCACCCACGTGTTTCCTGTTCTGCCACCCACGTGTTTCCTGTTCTGGGGAGTAGTTGTGATGCCCATTAACAATAACTCCAACATCACAGAAGCTCTGTACAGCCCAAAGGATAGCATGAGGGGTACTATGACCACCACACTGGGAAAGACTCCCAGCAGCAGCACACCCCAACATTAGAGAAGGTGGAAGGAACAGTGTTTCTACTGGGACAGTAGCATGCTGTCCCATAGGACCTTAGACGTCCCTGTGGTCATTTACCTACTCCTGCTTCCAGGTTGGCAATGGCTTCCTGAGACACACTATCATGGGTCAGGTGCCTTTGTTATACACTTGGTGAATTCCAGTGCCCACACTTGAACTAAATCTCTTTCTTCAAGACCCATCTTCCCTTTTTATTAAATGGCTGTGATTAGAAGGGGGACGGAGGAGGTCAGGAAGCAATTAAATCTTATAATTCTAATTATTAGAGTTATGTTCTAGCAGTATTTGGAATTCACAAGACATTTCCTCCCTCATGCTCCAAATCATGTCAGTTAATGTTTTGTGGTCTGGACTTGGGCGAGCAGACAGATTCAAGCCTGTAGTCAGGGGATTTTCTCTATAGTGTCCACCAGCCATGCTAGTTGGCCTTGGTGGAACATAGCTAAGAAGAGTGAGCGTGGTTGACTTTTCTTCACTGATTAAAGCCTTCTTCATAGATCCCTCTGAGTTTACTCATCACTAATCAGGTCATGGCAGGTACTTCTCTGCTGGAGATGGTACAGGGATGCCTTTCTTTCCATCTGCCATTGTAAGCTCATGTAACGGAGCTTTACTAAATAATCATCTTTATTAAAACTATGAAAATTATGTCCTGTGTGCAAGGTGGTGCCTCATGGTGGTCCAGCGCACACAAGCCCGGGACTGCCTGAGGTTATGCTGCACTGCTGTGGACAGCTTACCAGCAGGACCCAGCAGGGCTCCTGTAGCTTCCTACATGGAGAAGGAGGAGGAAGGTCCACTGTGCTCTGTCCTTATGTTCAGAAGCACCAAGAGACAGGGGAAGCTGTGGTACTCGAGGAAGGCCTTGTATCCTTTTACTGTGATGGGCAAGGGGCCTAAAGCTCCATCCATTCACAGTATTGGAACTGCTTAACAGGATGCTGCCTGCTGTTGGTGGCATGGTTCTAGGCCAGGCTAAACTAGATCTTTTAGAAAAGCAGGTAAGGACTGTAGGCTTATGGTTCTGTTCTGAGTACTGCCTGGTACCATCTATACTCTGCAGTGAGCTTCATAGATGCATGCCATCTTGCTTAGAAATGAATTAGAAATGAAGGAAGGGAAGGGGATTTCACATCTACATGTGAGGTGTCCTTTGAGTAAAGACTGACTTCATGTGGTCTGGGTTGTCCACCAACTCCCCCTTAGCCAGGAACATGCCCCTGTTTTGTTGTTCCAAACCATTATGGCGATCTGTCAAGCAGGCAGGGGCATTGTCATTCCCTGCACCTCTTCCACTGGGAAGAATAACAGCTGTATGCCTGGTAAGTAGGCTCAAGACTAATTCTAGCACTCAAGAGGCTGAGGGAGAATTGCTGAGAAGCATGCCCGGGCTACATAGTGAGATAGTGAGTTCCATGGCCAGCCTGAGCTACAGTATAAGACATTGTCTTGAAGACAAACAACAAAACCAAAACAGCAAAAACCCATCCCCTCAATACTCACGGGTAGAGTCACGTCAGGCTGTCTGCCCCTTACCTAACCTTGTGCTAATGTTTGCATGCCCAGGGCCAGGTTCTGTTTCTTTGCCAGCATGTGCCCACTTGGGTTCTTTGATGTCTTAAGGTCGTTTTAAGTGCCAGAAGGAGGAGAATTAGTTTTGTTTCCTGTTTCCCACCTCCCCTTTCTTACATGAATCTCTTCCCCACCTTCTCTGCCATACCTCCAGGGTATGAAGGTTTCTAGGTGAGCCTCTTACCTATGGTCCTCAGTCCAGGTTGGGAGGCTAGCATTCCTCCCTGGCTAGAGGTCAGCAGAGCCTGACTGGCTTGTGACTCCTGGGGGTGGGGAAGAATGTCTTCAGAGCCAGTTATCCTGGCCTGGCATGGGATTGCGGGGTGACAGGCATGATGCTGACCTTCTCTGGGGCAGTTTTTATTTCTAAACAGTTAAAAGATTTTCTTGAACTCTGGATAAATTGGCAAGCATGTGGAATTTGGAAATGGGAGCCAGTCCTAGTACACAGCTGTCCTGCTGGCATCAGCTGGGGTCAAGTGTTCCTTTTCTGACCCTTTAGAGGCCCTGTACTTCTCTTTCCTTTACAATGGAGGTACTACACAGATGTTGTCCATCCTGTCTCCCTGAGCTGGAGAGAGGAGCTCTTCTTCTGGCTGACAGCTCCTGCAGAAATGAAGATTTCTGGCTGGAGAGTGTACAAGCACTGTCTGCGGCCGTAAGACACATCCTCCTGTCTTCCCCTCCCTTCTCTGATTAGGCAGTTGTGGGAGCATTTATCTAGATTCTCAAGAATCAGACTCCTTAAACCCCAGGTCCAAATCCAAGATTCCAGAAGCATCAATGGTGGAAAGAATTTGAGGAAATGAGGTTTATCTAGAACATTCTTCATAAAAGGGATAAGGGGAAGACCAGCATGTGTAAACTGATCTCATTTGTGTGAAACTAATGCTTGCAAACAGGGAGGAACAGAGGGTATGAAGAGGGGAAACCTAGCAATGGATTTCTAGGAAGGGTGGGGGTGACAAGACTGAGATTTCCTTTAGGTACCTTCTATAATCTGTACCCTGGTTTTACAGAACCTAATAACCATTGCCAGGGAAAATTGAAATTCAAGAAAAGAAAAAACATCCCAGCTCGGCATCATAAGGAATAGTGAGACCATAGATAAAGCTAGTAGCCACTGGGACAAAGGCTCAGGCTCCCTTGACTCAGCAAGACCTATGCTGTGGGACCACTGTGGCTGCCCAGCCAGGATGGTTTCAAGACTATAAGACCACTGGGTTTAGCAGCTAAAAGGACCCATTCTTTTCTTGTTGTCTTTTGCCTTGTACCTCTTGGCGTTGGTGCATAGTGATGCCCCTCAGGAAGTTTTTAGATCCTTCCCCAAGACAGCTAGGAGAAAGTGAATGGACTTGGCCAGTATCCTTCTAGACACTGGAATGGTAAAGCCCAGTGGCTTGTGCCCATGGGACATTCCAGCAGCAGGTTGTTTGGGCTGGTTGTGGCTGTCTAGCCCAGGACAGGAAGCAACTGGGAGAGAGTTTCTTCAAAGAGTACACACGCCAGTGCAGGGGTCCTGGAATCTCTAGCTTTGAACTTGTTGCCTCCCCTAATTGCTGGTCCATGGAGACCTGGCTGAAACTTAGTTTAACGCTAAATTGAGTTTGAAACCACTAGTCTTAGCCCCTGTGGAAACAGGATACCATATAAAAATAGAAACTTCAAGGCAGTCTGTTTTTCTAGGCTTTATGCAGCTTGGCTCTAAGGCTCTGAGTCCTTTGGCAAATAAGAGCTGTTTGCAGACTCAGGTGTATGGGGATTTCTTTCAGGAGGAAATTGGCTACTCTTCCTTAAGAAAAATCAAGGTGGCCTAAAATAACCCCTAAGAAGATGCTCCAAGTGGGAGTTTAACCCCAGCACAGTACCGTCCTCTGCCTTGATCCATGAGAACCATATAGTTGGAATGTACACCCAGTTCATTCACGCAGTGATAGACTCACATGGTTATCAAAAGCAAATAATGGCCAGGAGTCTTGGAAATGGCAAGAGTTTTAAGCTGATGGAATTGCTCTTTCTCCAAAATCCTCTACAGATTTCATCCACAGGGTTGTAAAGCAAAAGGATTGTCGAAAAGTAACCCCTGGGCATTGTGTGTCTTAAATATTCTGGCCTAGCAAACTTGCTCCTGCAGCTGCCTGCAGGTGGGAGGGAGGACAACATGAGGCCTTCACAGCACCTGACCCTAACAGAGAGGGGTCAGAGCTCTGACACACTCTCCAGTTCTACAGAAACTCCCAGGCTGGGAACCAGCATCAGTTTGTAATTCAGAGTCTTGTTTGAGAATGGTGGCTTTCATTGTCTACAAGGCATTGGTTCCAAAACCCCACAGATATCAAACAACAGCTCAAGTCCTATGATGGTGTAATGTGTGCATGGAAGCTCTATATACCTCTATATACATATATATCTCTAGTGCACTTACAGTGTCTAAGAGAGCCAGAGTCTATATAAATGCCTGTTACACTGTATCCTCCAGGATACAGCAAGCAGAAACACTTACAGGTTTAGTACAGATACAGTGTTTCTCCCTTGGTATTTTGGTCTGAATTTAGATGAATAGATTCATCTAAATCTATTCATGGGGAGAGCTGACCCTGCGTGAAAAGGACAGTGATCTGTGGAACTTCCTGGCATTAGTGACATCAGAGGGACTGGAACAGGTGGCCGTGGGCAGTAGACTTTTTCAGCCCATTGCTGCTGCAGGCCAGATTTGTTATTAGTTCCTTGAGCATATGCTATGGGACTCTTGAGTAATGGGACAGGACACTAACTCAAGGAAAGGACAGGGTGCTTTTATGGAAGGTCCCTGTGTGCTTTCTCATCTGCCAGAGTGGGAAAAGGATAGGACACGGCAGAGATGATTGGAGATGGATGGATGGTGGTGGTGCACAGCTGAAGGTTTGGGGTGGGGTGTGGCCTGAGAGTTTTCAGGCCATTCTTAAGTAAATTTTCCTAAAGAAAATTCTTCCCATTACTGGGCTGAGGTGTTCACTAGACAGCAGATGCCGCTTGGTGTATATAGGG